CTCTGATCGCACTGGCAGAGACATAATGCCCAAATCGTATGCGCATTCAATTTGGATCGAGTTCCGTGTTCTACAAAAGTGAACGTCGCGACAAGACCCCCACGTATGCTGGTGTGGTGCTGTGCATGTTAGATGAATGGAAAATATCTTATTCAGGCCAAAGTTCTCCTAAAGAAAAGGCGTCCAAAGATCATTCAAGTTCACGCTCCCACTTATGCCGCAGCTGACGACGAATAAACAGTTCCTTGATAGAAGCAGCAATACAACTCTAAAAAGCACAGCAACGCTAGTAATGATCTCTGGAGACTTAATGCAATTACTGGACATTCTCTCAATCAAGAATCCGCATGTGAAATTAGTGTTACGATAGGCGAACTAGAGGTAAAAAGCCACTGCCATTCTGATCCGCAAATTACCTGGCAGTCGCCAACACCTTTTTCAAATATAGGTTTGGGAGAAAATGGAACGGAGGAGTCCGGACGGAAGCTACCGTGGTGAGATGGACCACGTACTGTGTCCCAATTTGAGCTTTGTCGTGACGGTGCTTCACGGATACGATGTCGGCAGTGATCACCGCATTGGGCAATTACCCCTGGTATTGTCCATGTGACCTGCTCATTTCCACCAAAAAGCAACACCCTTACCACGGCAGTTCAACAAATTGAAACCACAAGATGCATGATAACACATCCCGTCCAACAACTGGTTTCTAGATTCCAAACCTCCTACAAGCGGCTAAAACCTAAATGATTTTGGCTCATACATGTCAGAAACGAGCTAAGCGCTTTTCTGCTCGCACAAGGGCTTTGATGGCAGTACGAAGAAAGCAGAAATTTGTAGTAGCAACTCGATACGAATCCTCTTCTCCATAAGATACTATGTAAACAAGTCCGATGGTCACTCACAGATGATTTGCGAAGCACAACGACCGACTCATGGAAAGTGCAATCGAAAAACTAAGGATAAGGCATGCTAGATACGAGTTGGCCCACGAGTGTCGACAAATATCACAACTTCGACATGCAGATGGTTTCTTGACGACGACGCTGCTATCACAGGAATGCTGATATGGGCAAAGTTCGCGTCGTGAGCGGACGAGACTCGAACGCATCCTTTCGGGCTTACGGTTGCCTTGCGTTATCCATTGCACCTACGGCCACTCTTACCCTCTCAGTTCCATGGCATTTTGTGCCATAGCCTTGCAGCACTCATACGCACGGCTAAAGGCTTTTTACATGTTTCACATTTCGTTGAAGTGGGAGATACGGGTTCGGGTCTCTCGTCCGGAGTCCGACTTTTGCCCATACTTTGCTCCATACTGTACTTTGTACTCTCCTCCGTCCAGTGCTCTCTAGCCCCTCTCTAGCCCCGTCGCTGGAAGCGCTGGGAAAACGCTGGAGAAACGCTGGTGAAGCTAGATCGATAGCTATGCTTCCCGTGCCCTCGCTACGCCAGCGTGCGCTAGCGTGCCGCTGGTGACGCTGGTGAAGCTAGATCGATATGCATCCTCTCTTCGGCACTGCCGCTGGCGTACGCTGGAAGCGCTACGCTACGCTGCGCAAAGTTTTCAACTTTCTGGGACCATAACTTCGGCAGTGGAGGACTCAAGACAAAACTAAAACCAATGCAGATAAGAAGAAAAATTCCCCTTTTTGAAGACACTTTTTGACGACATATTTTTTTGGGAACTGCATTGTTCGAAAAACGTCGCTGTTGAGGATTTTTCCTGAGTTAACGACGAAAATGTCTTAAGAGCGTAAGTTTAACCTTGCAGGGACTATAACTTTCATAATGCAGGAGCCAACAAAGAAGAAAAGTCGGTGCAAAAAAAAGAAAATTTTGCCATTCTAGCGACACTTAAATCTTACGGAAAAATTCATTATTTGAAAAAAATTCGCCGTCGATGTTTTTCAGTGGTCCAGTGAGTAGACTACGCCTGGGAACTCGGAAGGGTATTATTTCTCAGGCTGTTGAATTGAGTACTTCTACTTCATTTTCCGTAACTCTTTCCAAAATCCACTGAATTCCTATAGAGTCCTCTACCTGTAATAAATGTCGCTGGATGGGCAGTGGGACATAGACTCAGTTGTTGGGCGCGCCACGCACACGTCCTCCTTAACATTTCTAGTATCACTCGATTCAGGACACACTCCCTGTAGTTAGGAGCACTTCTCCAGATACGACCCCCCCCCCGTCACAGCGAGTTACATACGAAGTCCTCGTTGAAGATTTCTCAGCGGATGCTTGACTCTA